TTATACAAAATAACATTATACAAAAGTTATACAATTTTTGAATTATACAAACATGCGAATTATATAAACTCGAAATCCCAGCCTACATAATTATCGCTGAATGTTGATCGCGAGTGATAATTAATAAAAACTATAGCTATGATGACTAATTAATTTGTATATATTTGCTTAACCATATAATTTTCCGTATTTTAATCTAGATGGACCGCTATTTAAGTTTTAATCAAGATTTTCAGCAAAAAAGAAGAAGTTTTAATCAAGATATATAAATTACTTAAAATTTAGCCAACACTTATAAAAGGATGCTATCACTTCTCTTCCTCTTAAAAGGACCATTTAAATGAAGGATCGGTCTTATTTAACCCATCAAATTCTACAGCCCACAACGGATTGGTTGGGCCAGCCCTTTCGATGGCTCAATTAGTTGAGAAAAATAATTAAAAAATTGAAAAAAATAACTAATTACACAATTTATTTCATCATATTCTCTAAAATTTTCTATCATTTGAAAAAATTACAAAATCCCTATTCTCTCTTATTCTCGGATACATCACTTTACGTGAAGCATAGTTTGTTGTAGCAAATCCTAGTAGTCTAAAGCATTTCTCACAATTAGTTGAAATGCAGCCAAGAAAAGAATACTCAATTTTCTCATGCAAAGGTGTAAAGAACACAATATATGAAAAATGTTAATTAAAGTAGAACAGCATGTGTATAGTATTCAGGCTAGTTTGTATGCAATTGAAATAATTACACGAAATATATTGCTACCCATATCAACACAAGTATTGAATAACTCTAGATCTCTAGACCAGGGTTTGGTCAAACGGGAAGAAAGCACTAGTGTTCCTAACTTTCGGTGCGATTAGAGCTGATCAAAGCTCATGATTCTCAACCTACTTCATTAATTGTGATTGCGCATTTACTTCCTCCCGTTTTGTACCTTATAGGATGAGAAGTCATTTTAAATTAATAAAGGCAATAATAAATAACAAAAATAATAGCTAGTAGTGCAAGATAGTATACATCTAAATTCAATAAAAGAACCAGAAATTTACTTTTGTACTGTTACAGAATTAACTTATACTCCCTCCGTCCCTTTTTAGTTGTCCACTTTAGAAATGGCACACAGATTAAGGCAACAATGATTAGCACAGTGAAGTTACAATTTTATCCTTATGACAACTTTTCACTTCAAAATTACAACCACTTATTTGAATTCAAGTGAAATAAATTGGAGGGAAACAACATACACTTTTACAATTTTCAAGAAGTGTAAATAAGGGTATAATAGGAAAAAATTTAGTTGTACCTTTCTTGATTTGTCAAAATGGACAACTAATAGGGACAACCAAAAAAGGAAATATGGACAAGTAAATAGGGACGGAGGGAGTATATTCCTCTTAGGAGAGATTAATCATCACCAAGGGGTGGTGGCGCAGTTGGCTAGCGCGTAGGTCTCATAGCTTCTGAGTAATCCTGAGGTCGAGAGTTCGAGCCTCTCTCACCCCATTCTTTTTTGTCTCCCCAATTATATAAAAATGTTGGTATCGATTCGGTTTTCGATTCTAAGATTTTAATTTATGGTTGAATCAATAAGTCAGATTATACTTTTTTTTATCCCAATTAATCAATAATGGTTTAATATTTTAAATATAATCTCTATTTTATTGCGTTTTATAATTGTTATCTTGGTGATTTCTTATAACAAAAAATTATTGGCTTGGTCGGTTCTACCAATCACCGTGAAGTGACCGTGTTTTTTCTTTTTCTTTAGAGACATTATTATAATTTATAGTGCTACTGCATTCAAGTATTCTACTTAACCTAAATGAAGATAAATTTATATTAGTAATAACTTACTTGAATTTATTTGTGCTTGTACTTCGTGACATACTCTTTTTAGCGTGAAGGCAGTATATATATGAACAAATGAAAACAAGAGAAAACATAAAATAAAAGGCATTTTTTTATTAATTAAATAAAAACTGAACCGTTAAGAATTATGAATCGATTAACAAAAAATAATAATATATTTAATATTAATTTAAGATATTTATCAATCAAAAACTGATCGATGAATGATAGCACCTTAATTCCTACTAAAATAAGAATTATAGGTATCTTACTTTAGTGTTAATTAATGATCACTTTTGAAACATCTAAGACGGGCTCTCTTATTTATATGTTTGATTACTATCCCCTCCGTCCACTTTTAATTGTTATAGTTTTCTTTTTTAGAGTTAAACAATAAGAACTTTGACTAATATTTTATGATACATTTTTTCATCACATTGATATACAAAAAATTGCAATTTATAGTACTTTTCATATATTTTTTGAATATCTATATTTTTTGTTTAAAATATCAAATTAATGTAATTTAATTTAACTATAAAAAATAGTTAAAATGACTTTTAAAAAACGCAACATGACAATTAAAAGTGAATAGTGTAAATACCTTCTTTCCGTCATTAACGCTCTTAAAACCTACGATGCCCATAGAATATTTTTTAATGATATTTTTGTTTCAATATGCCTTTCAATGTCATCTGGTTAGGGCGCCATTTGGTACATGCTATCATTATTAGATAACGTCACGTAAACTTTTTTTCTTTTCGATTTTTCATTTGATATCCAAAGTTTGATAATGGGGTCCGATGAAATTTAAATCGCATAAAAATTAAAAGTAGTCCTAACCTTATTCTTATTCTCTCTTTTATTAAATTTTGTGTGGCATAAATTTAAATCAATTTAATACATCAAATAATTATTTTTAAAAGACCCTCACTTTAAATAAAATAATTTAATTGGAGACCCTTACTTTCATGTTAATTGACCCAATTAGAGTTAAAATTGAAATGATTGGACTGTTGTCTTCTTGACTATCACATCCCCTTGAAAAGTAAGCCCCACACTTTGATGTTAATCTTATTTTTGTCGATGATCTAATTTATTTAACGAATTTTTCAAAGTTGCACCATCTATAATTTTTACGTGTCATTCTAGTTATACCTTAGGTTTTGACTTTTGTTAATTTTGTAGGGAATATAATTAATTTTCTACTTGGAAGTTTCTTTAATCATAGCATGCTGACTGCTATAAACAGTAACCAGACTATATATTCTTAAGCATGTGTCAAATTAATTAGCTAGTGGTAATTCATACTTTGCCTATAGTGTAAGTTTACGTTTAGACATGCGATATGAAGTTTAATGATAATAACTATCAGACTATTATTGAAGGTGCATAAATTTGTGTTCAGACATGTAAATGATGTGATATGAATTTATGATTTTAAATCAACATGTGATTTGAGATCATGATTTCAAATTATGTCTTAAATTCTCCAAAAAATTTTTATACATAATTTGAAATCTTATGTTCGGCATTATTAAGAGATTGTCCGTACCATATATTAAAGAATAATTAACTTAGTAAACTATGATTGATTAGTGAATCTTTCTAAAATGATGTGAATTTGAAAGTTCGTGATCACAAATAATTTATTTATAAAGGAACATGAAGATATGTGAGTTAGCAACGACGCCTTAAAATATTTAGATTTATGAAGTATGATATGCTTATATGGTAAGATTGTATAAGAATTCGAAAAATTATGATAATTTCCACAAATTATATACAAATATTACGATTTCAATCAATATAATTTCAAATCATAATTGTATATTACATGTTTAAACATGACCGAGTAAAAACTACTAGAGTTTTTTTTTTAATTAAAGAAAACTATTGGAGTTGGTGATTGCAATTTGAAGAAAAAAAAGTTAACGAAAGTCCATATAGTAATAATGCCATTTTAAAGGTCCGTTTTTGATAATTCTCATGCTAATCAAATCTAACTCTATTGCCTTTTCTTAATAATCAAATTTTAAATTAATACATGTATAATATAATGTTAATATTCACTTCATGATTTTAGTAGACGTCTGGACAATATTTAGTTAAAATTCAGTAAATAATTTGATGAATATTTCAAAATTGAAGTTTTTTTCTTCATATATAAATAACTACCGAATTGTCCTGTTATTTAGAAAAAGAAAATACTTAATTTTTATATTTTAAAAACTAATTAATATTTTATTGGGTACTTAAATATGCCGAAATTCTTTACGTTGTACAGCCGCAACTCGTGCGTTTGGTAAGTGAGAATGTATTCCCTTATGAAAAGAAAAAATATAATTAAGTAGATTTATAAGTAACATTTTAAATTTATTGTCCATTCAGAATTCCCTATTTGTTTAATCCACTCAATTTTCTTTCATAATGTTTACTAGATCGTATATAGTTTTTTAGAATAATATTTTTGAAGGGAAAATAAAAAAATTAATTTATAAATAACAATTTAAATAAATTTCATTTCAGTATTTACTATATGTTCAACGCTCTCAATTTTTATTCTTTGACCACCCCATCTTGTAATTTTAGAAATTTAAAGGAAAAATAGAATTTGTTTTTTTTATCAGTAACATCTTAAATTTATTCCATTTAAGTATTTTTTATTTGTTCAACGCTTTCAATTTTCATTCTTTGACCATCCCATTTCATAATCTTCGAACCCCCACTCCCATCCTATCCGATTACATAATGTTTTACTAGATAGTATATAAACTCTTAAATAATTTTCCTAATGGAAAAAATAATAATTTATAAGTAACATTTTAAATTTATTCCATTTCAGTATTTTCTATCTGCAACGCTCTCAACTTTCATTCTTTGACCATCCCATCTCGTAATCTTCAAACCCCCACTCTCATTCTATCTCATTCCATAATATTTTACTCGATACTATATATATTAAAATAATATTTTTAATTTACTGACCAAACATTAGAAAATAAGTTTGACCGTCCGGTTTGTCACTCTAACTGGACCCTACTAACAAGACCCCACATTCCTTTTTTTTTTTTTGCACTATTTCTCTATTTATATTTATGTATTTATATTTATTTTCTTCTTGTTCATCATTATCTATTGTTTTTCACTTTCTAATTTTTTGCTTCCAATTTCCGTTTCATTTCCTCGTTGACTAACAACCCCACCACCCCCTCTGCCCCAAGCTAGGGTTTATTCTTATTTTTTTCCTCAAACTATAGAGAAAAACCTTCAAAAATAGAATTTTTATACTGATTTAAGGAAGAAGAAGAAGTTTCTTGATCAGTTGACATGGTTTATGAAAGCTTTGCCCCGCTAATCAAGGCGTAAGTTTCTCTTCTCTGAACCCTTTGCAGAATTAGTATATCTTTTAAGCATATATCTGAATCTTGAAAAATCGAAAAAAGGTGGGATTTTTTGGTTTTTTTTTTTGTGAATTTTCAAGTGTTTGAGAAGGATAAAGATTCGTTCTTGGAAGTCTACAGAGAGAAACAATAATTGGGTGTTGAGTGTTTTGTTGGGAAACTCACTGATTACTCAGATTTCTGTGCTTTTGGTTCATTTTGGGAATTTGAAGAATTTTTTGTTTTTGCTGAAGCTGGAGCTGATTTGATTTGGGGATTATTTACTGGTGTATATTGCTGTTACAGTTTCAAAGTTTGCAACTTTGTTTTTGGTTCTTGCTTGGATACCTCTTTTGAATTTGGTTAGGATTGGAGACTGCTTTTTCTGGTGCTGTGTGAATTGTATGTCTGGGTTTTTGTGCAATGGTTGAGATTTCTGGAGGGTTTATTGCAGTGGTGTAAGTGCTGAGGTTTTGTGTTGTCTGTAAGCTTAAAGGACTTTGTTTCGATTGATGTTCATTGATGGTTTGACGAAGAGGAGCTATTCTAGGTAAAACAGCTGTAGATAAGTATTCAAATGGATAATCCAGATCGTCCTAACAATCGAAGTCTTGATTATTTAGGTGTGAATAAATTGGGGAAGAATATAAAGAAAAGTCCTATACACCAACCCAATTTCAATAATGCAAATAGCGCGAGACAACAAGCTCAACCCCAAGTTTATAATATCAACAAAAATGATTTTCGGAGTATTGTTCAGCAGTTGACTGGTTCGCCATCTCAAGAACCTCAACCTAGACCTCCTCATAATCCACCAAAGCCTCCTAGTATGAGATTGCAAAGGATTCGACCTCCCCCTTTGGCACCGATTAATCGCCCCCGAATTCCCATGCACCCCCCAGCACCAATGCCAGCCCCAAGTCAACTGGCAGGTCCTGCACCTGGTGTTGCATACAATAACAATTTTGTGAGACCTCCTCCTCAGTATGGTCAGCCATCTCCTCCCATGTTACCACCCATTAACCCTGGTGATGTTTGGGCTAATACAGCAGAGTCTCCAATCTCAGCTTACATGCGTTACCTTCAAAATTCGATAATGGATCCAGGGGCTACACAAACACAACTTCAAGGCCCTGCTCATACTCAAGCATATCCTCCATCCTCCGGCTTTCTTCCTAATCCTTCAATGCCACCACTTCCCTCTCCTAGAATGAATGGCCCGCCACCACTTCCTTCTCCTAGAATGAATGGCCTGCCTCTCCTCCCATCGCCTAGAATGAATGGCCCGCCTCTCCTCCCATTGCCTAGAACAAATGGTCCACCTTCTCTCCCACCCCCTCGTATGAATGGTCCACATCCTCCTTTCCCATCTCCTAGGATGAATGGTCCGCCTCCACCACTTCCATCTTCGGGAATAAATGGGCCAACTTTTTTGCCTTCACCCACTTCTCAGTTCCTTTTGCAATCACCCACTGGCTTCTTCAACATGTTATCTCCTCGATCACCTTATCCATTGCTTTCTCCTGGTGTGCAGCGCCCTTCACCATTGACTCCGAATTTCTCCTTCTCTCACATGGCTCAGCCTGGGATTTTAGGCCCTGGACCACAATTTCCCCCATCTCCTGGTTTTGGATTTCCTCTGTCGCCGTCAGGATATTTTCCTATAACAAGTCCAAGATGGAGGGATCAGTAGTGTTAAGGAAAAACTACTGACTTTGGACAGCTCCAGTGACTGATATTGGTTTGAGGAATTTCGTGGTGGAAATCTTCTCCAAATTGAATCTTTATACTTGTTGAGATACAATGTACCCTAGCTAAACGTAAGATATCTCTTTAGTAATTTGCATTTAGTTTTGTTATTTTATTTTATATTATTTTATTCACACACATTGCCATCTTATCTTAACTCTTTGTGAGTAGAGTCTGTAGCTGATTCATCTCTTTATTCTCTTAGAACTTTAGGCAATGTAGTTAATTAGGCAACTCAAAAAGGGCTGTAACTTGTTAGATGTTGTTTAAAGTGATCTATATGTAAGGAAATGCAGGAAAGATTCTTGTACTGTCACATTTGGAATCAAATACTTTGAATTTTCTTCAAATCTTCGCCTTTCATGTGAATAAGTTTTCATGTTATGATTCCATATTTTGCGCGATTTGTCAATCTTTGCCACCCTACAAATTCTGTGCAATGTTTATTCATCTTTCATGCATGTGTTTGTTTCTAACCTGGTATGCTACGAAACTCTCAGTGCTTACTTTTCTAAACAGAGGGGAAAGGAGGAAGGGACAACAGAGAGTGGGAAGGAGAGAGAAGGGAGGGCTGGGCTGGATATAATATTCAATAGCAAGTTTGGAGTGGAAGTGTGTTTTATCATCTAGTTTGCTATTTGAGTCATTGCCAGAAGTTTGACAAACAATGTTAAATGGCAAACCTAATTTGAAAGAAGTTCTATTGAATCTGGAATTTCTCGGTCCTGGTAAATATTTCCTCCATAATCTGAAAATTTTGAGCTTCTTAGTCGAGTTAAGCAGTTCCATGAAGAATTCCCTGTCAATTGTCAAGGGAGAGGAGAAATAGACCCACTTTTAGAATCTCCCAACTCCTAATATTATATGTGAGGCAAAGGTAGTGAAAGGGTGACAAGATGATGAAATGAGAACATAGACATGGTCAGGTAGCCTTGGGACCTCAAAGCATATGGCTGGACTTTAGTTCTGCAATAAGCTGGGTCTTATTAATAGGTGATATTCTTTAGTGTTCAGTTCCATTAGAACATAGAAAACTATTTATACCATATTAGATTAGCCTTCTTTTTTTTTATAGCAGAACATTTAGGTTTCTTGTTTTGGTCCACTTTGGCAATGATTTTTCATGTGTCCATCTTATTGTCAGTTACTTAACACTCATATTCTAGTATTAGCATTGAGTATGTATCTGTGTTGTGCCGGTAGTTGGTGAAGCAACATGTATATGTCGAATGAATATTCACCTTTTTAGACAAGCCTAAGAGTTAAGATATGCTAACTAAAATAATTGAATGTCATAAATGGCTACACTTTGGAAGTTATTACGGAGCTCATTTGTATCATTCCTGGCAAATGGAAGTTGGACAAGAGGTTGAAGCCGATAGAAGGTTGGAAATGAGCCACGCCCTTGATTTTTGATATGCACAAGAGAGTGTCAGGCAGTGCCTCTACAATTCTGCAAGAGGTAATATCTGAATGAAGAATGTGGAGATTTCTGTGCTACACTTAGTTTGGAGAAGTTAGGGTGAAAGCCAATGATTCTTTACATTTAATCGTAAAGCTCTGAAATGCTTACATCTTAAGAAAAACTACTTTCAGAGTGCAATAAGATAGTTGATAGCTAATCTGATAGGGTGATAACTTCATTTGAGGGAGCTTATGATTGGTCATCCATGCAAGTACCTTTCTGATCATTCCTTTGAATTTTGAAAGTTTATTGTATTCACTCCTATAAAAACTTCCTATCTTTTTTTTGTTTTTGTTTTGGAAGAATAAGTTTGAGAGATGTGCAAGGTGTGATCTTAAATGGTGTGCGTCGACTAAAAGGAATGGAAGTATTTTGATGGAATCTCAACTCTAAATCACTCATATTTGCTTAATTTATTTTGTTGGACAAACCTTACCCCTGTAGTTAGTATTTTTGGACTTTGTTAGCTCCTTGGTCTTAGCATGATGTTGTTTTAATGGAGCTAATATTTCTTCTTTTGTAACCTTGCGTCTCCTTGATGCCTTCCTAGTGACATACCTTACTTCATTCAAAAGAGGTGTAGTGATCAGCGGTTGGGATGGGGAGCCTTAGAACAACGGTTAAGTTGTCTCTATGTAACCATTGATGCTTGCATTAGGGTATGTTGCCTACATCACAACCCCCCCCTTGTGGTGCGGCCCTTCCCTGGATCTCATGAGAATGCAGGATACTTCATGCACTATAGGGCTGCTCTTTGTTGATCAGTGGGTTGGGTGGCCATTATCATCTCTCGTTTGAGAACCCAATGTAGCTAAATTTGGTTATGTAATCAGTTCAATATTTTCTGTTTTCTGATTATTTATAGTTGATTCTATAATATCGGGAAGTCAGCTGCATGTATAGTGAATTTATAATTAGTATTTACTACTCCATGACATGCAACAACATACAAAGTGTAATCCCACAAGGGGGGTCCAAGGGTGGTATGCACGAAGCATTACCCTTACCTTGAGAAGGTAGAGAGGTTGTTTACGACATGCTAAGTTACAAATATTATCACACAGGCATGACCCTTCTAGGGCTGTATATCAACTCTCTTTAGTTTGCATAGGATTCTTATTGCAGTTCATGATTCATGGGATAAGATTGGTGCGTATTAAACTGCTGCCTGTGTCTAGCCACCTGAACATTTCTCATCTCTTCGCTTCTCTTGGCTCTTGGTTTATTGCAGCAGTCTTTTCTGCATTGTGTCTTTCATGAAAAACCCGTAACTCGTAGCCAATGAAGCTCTGCCTGGTCGCAGGAAACTGAGGTTGCATTACCATAGAGTCATGGGCGAGAGCTCATATTTGATTATTCATATTCTTCTAGTTTTGTGTTGGTGTTATAAAGTCGGTTGTAACTCTCCAATGTAGTGCCTTTGTATTGGCATGGTTTCTCTTTAATATTAGAAATTTGTCTGCAAACCTTACTCCTACCACAATCTTGTGAGATAGAGAGGTTGTTTCCACTAGACCCTCGGGCTCAAAAACATCATATCAAAGTTTAGAACTTGTATAGTTTAACGAAGAAAGTTGTATAGAGTTTGATTCTGTCAAGTGTATTCTGGATTTCTCAAAATGGAGTCCGAGGGAGTGTTACTGAATTGTCCCGAGGCTGTTGCTTCTATATTGAGACAGAGAGTTGCTGTTTAAAGATATCATTTCTTCCTAGGTTTTAGGTCATAAAATTGCCTTGGTAGTTAAGTCAATGTGTTTTTGCTTACTTGCACAACCAGCAATAGGAAAATGCAGTCAACCTGTTTTATATGAACGATTTCCTCGTTTCGAGGAACTATTTTTTTTATTGATATAGAACTTGATGTGAATTTTTCTTCATTGAAATTGCTATGAATTTTCTCAAAGTTGGAATACTTTATGTGGTAAGTTGACTTGGGTAATCAAATTGCTGTATGTCTGTTGAGTCTATTTTGAATACAGAACATCAACTCTTAAAAGGAGGACCAAATTGTTACTACAACATGTGTGCCATGAACCATTGTATTTATGGAGCCATGGACACTAATTATTTATTCAACAAAAGGAAAGAGGGAAAAAGTGTCGGTGGGGTGTAGATGAGGTGTGTTGAAGGATAGAGAGAAATGCTACTTTTACAACGTGTTTGTTATATTTCTGTTAGGGAAGTCATTCTCCTCATTTTTATGAAACTTGTTTTTCTAGAGAAACAATCGAACATGAGAAAATTAAAAACATTTTCTTTCCTCCGTTTCAAACATACCCCATGTCCTTTTGTGTTGGTACTTGAAACACAATATTAAAGGATGAATCATTCATGATATTTGTGTTGGTACTTGATATCTTCAGTTCTTTTTGGAATTACTACTGGCATATATTATATTATTACTCGTTAAGTGTTTATTTATTATATTTAAACATTTTTCCATTGCATAAATTATAGAAGTTTCATTGTGGATTGCATAATACTACTACTAGTGGTGTTCACGTCAGCTTGCAAATGAAGTAGTGTTCGAATCATATTACGTATTTTGATTAATTTTATAAATACATGTTTTCTATAATTTTGTTTTATATGTGGGTTTATGTCTACATAACATAAGTGATTTCTTATAACACAACTTTGGTTGAGCAATTTTATAAAAGAAAATTTTTAAGTTAGAATGATTTTATTGATACAAAATAAAATAAAATGACTTTGCTATATAATTTCTTATAATTGAGTAATGGACTTTTACTTTTTTTCTCAATTAGGCAATTGATAAATTGTTACTTCTTCCGTTTATTTTTATTTCTCCAATATTAACTTGACACACTCATTCAAGAGAAATAAAAGAAATGATTTTATTATATCACTTAATAATAAATTATTTTTTAATTTTTAAATTGAATAAATAAAAATAGACGATTGGAGATACGTAAGGAGCGATAAAAGGTAGTTTTATATAAATACTTCTATGTAAAAAGAAAACTACTACTTATTAAAATTTCTTTCTTAAAGAGGGACATACTATGTGAAATGATAAAAAGTGCCCTTCATTTATACTTTGATCCATTTATGTCCTTATAGCCAGTGAAATGGGTCAAAAATGCTCTTAAATAAAACTGAAGCAAACGGAAAAACTTAAACACTAATTAGTGTTAATTTGTCTGCTCCGTCTTTTCATCTGAAGCCAACCCCATTTTTCTCCCAGATTTATTTCCTTCTCCTTCAAAACCCTAGCCTCCTCTTCTAAATTTCTCATATATGCTCAAGTGGGTGTAGAATTTTTGGTAATTTCGACATTATTGAAGATGAGATAAAATGAATAGTAGCCACTAGATTCCAACTCTTAAATGATAAAATAAAATCATATTTTTTTTGTTTTTTTATTATTTAAACAAACTCTCTTTTACACTCTAAAATGGAGAATTATCTAATATTTACATCATCTGAATTTTCATCAATGAATAACAATACTACTCTTTGTTTGAATGCTGGAAACAAGTATTATTATTGCTGATTAGTTGCCACAAAGTGGTGGTAGTCAAATTCTGGTAATACAAATTGGAGAGCAGTGAGTTCTTTCGTTATATTTATGTTAGCTTTTAAGTACAACACCACTTCAAGTTCTTCAAAAATGTCCTTGAATCTGCTAAAATGTTTTTGGACTAAGCATTATATGCGAATCGGTGCATAAATGTCATCTGAATTAGTGTTCAAGTTTTTCCGTTTCATTTAAGGGCATATTTAGTCCATTTCACGGACTATAAAAGCATAAATGGACCAAAGTATAAACCAGGGGCGGCTGGCAAGGCTTGTCAAAAAGTCCTTGGCCTTAGGCCCCCAATTTTAGGGGGCCCCATTTTTTAGTTAATTAGGTAGAATTAAATTTAAAAAAAAA